CGTACCGAAACCGTGACTCTAAAACCGTGATACAAACCGAACCGTGAGTAAGTTGAACCGTTCCACCCCTAATATATATATATATAATATTTAAATATAAATTAGGGCTGTTGATTTAACGTGTTATTCTATATATATATTTATAATAAATGTTTCTTGAGCAGCAAATCAGCATATTAGAATGATTTCTGAAGATCATGTGACACTGAAGACTGGAGTAATGATGCTGAAAATGTAGCTTTGATCACAGAAATAAATTACAGTTTAACAGATATTCACATAGAAAACAGCTGTTTTAAATAGTAAAAATATTTCACAATATTACTGCTTCTGCAGTATTTCTGATCAAATAAATGCAGGCTTGGTGAGCAGAAGATACTTCTTTAAAAAACATTAAAAATCTTACTGTTCAAAAACTTTTGACTGGTAGTGTATATGTATTTACAGTATTTACAGTTTTTGTAATACAAATTAATTGCAGTATTTTGTTTTATATGTGTATATTTGTATTTTTATATTTTACATAATTTAATATGATTTACAGTATTTTTCATCTTTATAGACGTTGTTTCCGCTGAATTTCTTCATTCCTGCACTGATTCGCTCTCAGTCTCTCAGTGTTTATTGTCTCGTCCTCGAGTATGAAATTAATGTTAACATGATTTGAGACGAGGTCAATGAGTGCGCGCTCAGATTGAGTTTATGTACACTTCTGGCTGAGCGGCTGATGTCACATGACCCGCGGCGTCCAATCACAGGCCAGTGTGCTCGGGTCAGCGTGAGTTTGTGTTGATGCACCTGGTGTGTAATCAGGATCATGGGGTTTAATTAATAACGTGTTTTAATAAGCTGCAGCAGAGCACATGATGAGATCAGGAGGAATGACTGTGTGTTTGATCTGATCACTCACTGTCAGTCAGTCTCTGACCCATACACACTCTCTGTGCTTGATCGATATATAACTCTGTTAAACTGTTCCACATCATCAATGCCATTATTGTGTGTTAATGAAAAATTGAGATACTCATTATATTTTTCTCCCTTGTGAATATTTTAGGGTGAACCAATTCATAAGGGAATGGTCTTATAACATGAGGACAGATGGGACAGTGAACACAGTATCTGTCTGCCCTGTCCTTTGTCTGAGGGACTTTGTGGCACAGATGGCACATTCTCATAGTATTATTTTTTTGACATTTAGAATAGTGATGCTTATCGTCCGTAACATCTTGAATTGCTGTAGCTCCGCCAAATATTTGATGGCATCTCTGTACTTGTTTGTTTTCATCTTCCCACGTGCAATTGAAGTTGTCATAAAGATAGATCTTATTGCATTGTTACATCTGCATTTGTGGAACACACAATTAGTTGGGTCATCCTGCATCCTGCTTTTTATGTAACAATGAGTGTGTGTGTGTGTGTGTGTGTGTGTGTGTGTGTTTACTTATTTAGTAAATAGTCATATAATAAATGGGATGATGTACATTCAGAGGGTCAGTATCACAGAATAAACCGTGGCCCATCAGAGTTTCTTAGATCCATCAGAATATGAGCAGTTGTTTTACAGTAAGATGCGAGTCTGTTTTGGTCTGTTCGAGTTTCAATCGCAGCAGCAGCAGCAGCAGCGTTTGAGTTTTTCTTTCTACGGTTTGATCATTAAGAAGTTCTTGAGAAAATGCAGAGGCGAATGAAATGCCCAATCTGTGACTCTTTAGAGGAGTTTTTCCAGAGCTATTCATTACAGATTCAGCTTAATGAGAGCAAAGCGCATTAGTGGCTCCCTCTGCTCCCAATGACTGAAAGATGGAGCGATTTGTTAGAGAGCGGCTTAAGCTGGAGCTGTTTGTTCTGATCCTCAGCTTTCTGACATTTCCCTCCAAAGGGTTTTTCTTGCCGGTTTTATTGGCTTGACCTGATTAGCTAATCTGTGCTTTGAATTTCAATGGCTTCTCGGGCCGGCCTGTGTGCGCTGGGAACCGGATTACCTCATTCAGCGGTCCTCAAACACAGATGGCCGAATGTTTAACCGATTGTTAAAAGATTCGACAAAAGGGAGTTTAACGGAGCACACAGTCTTTAAGCTCAATGCATGCAGAGGAGTAAAGAGAGATGCTCCTGTGTTGATGTTGTGATGCTGATATTAAATCAATGTCGTCTCTTCTTCTTCTTCTTCTCCTCAGAGTCTGTGCTCGACGGCTAGCATGCAGACGGTGAGATCCGCCGACACCAATGAAGTCGACAAACTCATCTTCAGAGAGTCAGACAATGACCGCAAGGTGAAGCCTTTGCTCTGATTTAGTAATGAAACACATCTGTTCAACCTTTATATATATATGTGACCCTGGAGCACAAAACCAGTCATAAGGGTCAATTTTTGGAAATTTAGATTTATACATCATCTGAAGCAATGCATATTACTAATCAAAAATTAAGTTTTATATTAAGATATATTTACAGTAGGAAATTTACTAAATATCTTCATGAACATGAACTTTACTTAACATCCTAATGATTTTTGGCATAAAAGAAAAATCTATAATTCTGACCCATACAATGTATTGTTGGCTATTGCTACAAATATACCCCAGCAACTTAAGACTGCTTTTGTGCTGCAGGGACACACACACACATATATATACAGTATCTCACAGAAGTGAGTACACCCCTCACATTTTTGTAAATATTTTATTATGTCTTTTCATGTGACAACACTGAAGAAATGACACTTTGCTACAATGTAAAGTAGTGAGTGTACAGCTTGTATAACAGTGTAAATTTGCTGTCCCTCAAAATAAATATATATATATATAAATAATGTTGGTGTAATTCACAAGGGTTCACAAACTTTTTCCTCACTCATCAGTTGAAGATCTTCAGTATACTGCAGGTTCTTCCATAATTTAGTGTGAGTCTGGTAAACATATTCATGGAAATTATGAAGCTTTTTATTATACTGTACACATCACAAAGTTCGGGATCAGTAGGATTTAATTTTTTTTTTTAAAGTAAGTCTCTTCTGCTCACCAGGGCTGCATTTATTTGATCAAAAATACAGTAAAAATTGTGAAATATTATTACAATTTAAAACAGCTGTTTTCTATGTGAATATCTGTTAAACTGTAATTTATTTCTGTGATCAAACTGAATTTTCAGCATCATTACTCCAGTCTTCAGTGTCACATGATCTTCAGAAATCATTCTAATATGCTGATTTGCTGCTCAAGAAACATTTCTGATTATCATCAATGTTGAAAACATTAATATTTGTGTGGAAACTGTGATGCATTTTATTTTTCGGGATTCACAGATGAATAGAAAGTTCAAAAGAACAGCTTTATTTGAAACAGAAATCTTTTGTAACATCACTTTTGATAATTTTAATGCGTCTTTGATGAATAAAAGTATTGATTTTGTTAAAATATATTCTTACTGACCCCAAATGTATGTACAATAGTGTCTAACCAATGCCATGCACTTTATTCGTAGTATAGAGCATAATTTCTGTGATGCTGAAGTGTGTTAGTGTTGAAGTGTTTTTATTCTCTGACAGGTTCTCCTGCAGCTGGAAAAGAAGTTCTTTAGCTACATTAACCAGGACGTTTTCCGGGAAAACAATGGAACGCTGGTAAGACACTCGTTCAAGCTCCTTTGGCTTTATTTTAGCTGCTTGATAACGGCGTGAATGTTTGACTTCTGTCTTCCTGAATGAGACGCTTTGATGGAGAGCAGCTGCGGATGAACTTCATGGATTAACACTGGATGTCATTGTAGATGCAGGTTATGATGGAGAGGTCAGACTCAGAGTCCTCAAATCAACGCTTATCAAGAGACGCACAGCTGTGGGACTCAATGCATAACATACTAATAGCATATTACATTACATTCCCATGCAGCAGTTTCATTTAGTGCAATTATTTGTAAAAAAAAATAAATATATTATAATAAATATATTAGATAAAAATGTAATAAAAAATGTAAATAAATAAAATGAAAACTAGCCAGATGCATCCACCGTTTCGCAGCATCTTGCACACGAGGTGCGTAAAAAAACAGGCTCACGTTTATTGTGTTTAAAAAGAAAATATCTATGAACGGCCTGTTAAAGTGCGTTAACGTCAAGAGTTTCTTTCAGCTGTGAATGTGAATCACAAATCAGTTCATTAGTTCATGATTCTGTTTCTCACATTTAACACAGATTTATTAGTCTGTGTGTGCAGCTTTATCTGCTATATATTGATATCAGTCTTTCATGCAGTGCTGCAGTACATCTGAACCAGCTTTATTTTAGTATTACTGATTATAGTTTTTTAATATATTGAATTATTTTTTGATTTTTTTGTATTTTCCATATTAATTTTAAATTTAATTACATTTTTGGTATTTTTTTGTTTTAATAATTGTTATTATTATAAAAATTATTACAAATATTATTTATTAATTGTTCTTTATATGTTGATAAGTTGATATAGTTTTTATTATTTTTATTTCAGTTTTAGTGATCAAGTTAAACTAAATGAATATGAGAAGTTGCCTTAGCAACTAGCTGATATTTTTTATATTCTATTTTTATATTGTGAATTAGTTTTTATATTTTATATTTTACATTTTCATTTTGATTAAAGTTTTAGTAAATTAGTTGTATGTTTTTATGATTTTTATAAGTTGTTTTTTTAAATGTTTATTTTTTTTATTATTATTATTATTATTATTTATTTCAGTTTCAGTTTTAATTTTAATTTTAGTTATCAAGTTAAACTAAATGAAAATGAGAAGTTGCATTGGCAACTAGCTGAAAAATGTTTTTTTATTTATTTATCTATTATATATATATATATATATATATATATATATACAAATGTTAAGTACTGTAAGGTCTTTCATGACACTACATATTCTGGGGTGTGAATTTGATCGGTGTTTGATATAAAATAAATGGTGCTTTAAAAAGTCCTTGAATCTGGTGTTCATGAAAGAGTGGGAACCCTGACACACACACACTCACTCACACGCACACGCACGCACGCACACACACACATACGCACAGGCACGTGCACAGGTAGGGCTCAACCTGTGCAGAGCACATGCCCTTTTTGTCCTTACACTCCGAAGTGCCCTTTTTTTTGTTTGTTTTTTTGTTCTTCTTCAATAAATCAATGCTATTGTTCACCCTTTACGTCTGTCTGTCTGTTTTGCAAATATATTTAGCGAATGAAAGGTATTAAAAAGAGTTTGTGACTAAATCTTGTTGGATCCGCTCAAACTGTCAATCACTCACACGCTCACGCACTCGCACACACTCGCACACACACACTCACGCACTCACACGCACACACACACACACACACACGCACGCACACACTCGCACGCACGCACAATCACACCCTCACACGCACGCACACTCACACGCACACACTTGCACGCACACTCACACACTCACACACACAGACGCACATGCACTCACACACATGCACATGCACGCACGCACACATTCACACACACACTCACGCACTCACACGCACACTCACGCACACTCACGCACACTCACACGCACGCACTCACGCATGCACTCACACGCACGCACACACACACACGCACACTCACACACGCGCACACACACGCACTCTCACTCTCACACACACACACACACACACACACACACAC